GCTCACACTTAGCAGGGAGTCAACAAAGGCTGAATTTAATTTATCCACTCCCAAGATTTTTCTTCACCAAGGTCTCCAAACTAAAAGACAAACCTGAAGTGATAAAACCTACAAATACTTCCTATCACCTTCTTGCCACAATTCACATTATCATCTCCTTTAGCCAGTCCTTTAACCTACTAAAAGGTTATATCAAAATCATCCTTCTCACTGGGAGAGGAAGGATATACATAATTAACATTACCTTTTTTTTTACTATAACTACGAGAAGCAGGTATTATCATTCCCATTCTATGGATTAGGAAACAGATTCAAAGGTTAGATGACGTGGATAAAGTTTCAGAGCTGGTAAATGAATCACCAGTATTCAAAATGAGGGCTGTCTGATGCAACAATTCATGCTCATCTACCACAACCCCATCACTTCTACAGTCTCCCATCTCCTCCACACTGGTTTGTTATTACTCACCACTGACAACTTTCACTCTGGAGTTTTACATCTATCAGATTACAACAGTACCACCCTCTCTAACCTCTTGGTTTCTACCAAGAGACCTCTACTTGGTCTCTCTTTCACACCAAGTAAGGTAACAGGTCATTAATTTTTATTTTTCTCTTTTATATCCAGGCATTCTTTCCTCCCCTTCTCGAAATCATTCTTAACTCAGTTTTAAGTCTACACCTAGGAATTCTACATAATGATCCCCTCTGTATAAAGGACAAAGCTGTAAAGCACACACTTTAAGAGAACTGGCTGACTGACTTAAAGACTTTAAAAAACATACTGCTCTCCACACGTAAGACTCTTCAGTGAATCAGCATTAACAGTGAGTTAAGTCTTCGAGGGCAGGGAATAGACAATGCATTGACCCGCCGTATTCTCTCTATATTCCCCTCTTGGCAGGTATAAAAATATTTTCTCTTGGTTCCTTTATATACAAGGATGATATAATTACTGGAAACTAGTTTAAGTACTACACAAGCATATGCACTGCTCTGCCTATTAAATATCCAGTTATAATGATCCTTAGCAAGATTACCTAGCAAAATGTGAAAATGGCTGATAATATGCCAAATTAAAAAAAAAAATTATATAAATATCCCATTAAGGCAACCGTAAAATATGAAATGCATACTGCCAAAGACTGAAAGACAACATGCAAAAAAATATTTAAAGGTGTTACAAGCTATGGGATCATGAATGCATTATATATAATTTTCTTATATTATTTGTGTGGTTATTTCTATATAACACACTACTACCTAATTTAGTGACTTAAAACACTACTGCCATTTATTTTGCACAGGGGTTGGTGTCAATTTGATGGCTTAAAGGCAGGGGGGCTGTTGCCCTCTGAAGGCTTGCTTACAAACAGGTGTGAGTAAGCTGATAGCAGCTGACATTAGCTGGCTATCAGAGCCTTAGTTGGGGCTATGAGCTGGAACCTGTATATGGGCCCTGAGCTTCCTCACAATATGGTGGCTGGATTCCAGGGGGAAGCATTCCAAGAGAAAAAAACACAGAAGACAGAAGTTATATTGCCTTTTCTAACCTTATATCACAAGTTACACAGCATCATTTCTACCACATTCTACTTGTTTGTCACTAAGCAGGTCTGTTGTCCTTGGGTGGCACAAATGGTTAAGCTCCAGACTACTAACTGAAAGGCTAGAAGGTCAAACTCATCCAGAGGTGCCTTGGAAGTAAGGCCTGGTGATCTGTTTCTGAAAGGTTACAGCCTTGAAAACCCTACGGAACAGTTCTATTCTGCATAAATGGGAATCATGAACATTCTGAATACATGGGGTCACTATGAGTTGGAAATCAACTTGACAGCAACTAATAACAAGGCAGGTCCACATTCAAGTAGAAGGGAATCAGACTCCACCTTTTGATGGCATCACAATCACCTGGGGAACTTTTTAACAATTAAATAAAAAAAAATAAATGCCCACTCAGACCAGGAGCTCTGGTGGCATTGTCCCTAAGGCATTTGACTGCTAACCAGAAGGCTAGCTGTTCAAACTCACCAGTCACTCCTTGGAAGGAAGGTTGGGCAATCTACTTCTGTGGTGATAACACCTCAGAAACCCAAGGAGGGGTCGCTATGAGTCGGATCCGTCTCAACGACAGTGAATGGGTTTTTTGGCCCACTTAGACCAGTTAAGTCAGAATCTCTGAAAGAGATTCTGGAGCCCCAAAATAAGTATTTTAATGCTTCCCTAGGTGATTCCAATGAATAGTCAAGGTTGAGAGTCACTAAATTAAGATGATCTTTGAGCTCTCTCTCAGCTCTAAAATCTTATGTGTGTGTATGTGTGTATTCTCATTCCAATTTAGAAAGGCAAGAAGAGGATAAGGCTAAAAAAGGCCTCTGAAAAGAAAAAAGTACACACAAGACCACAACTACAGGTATATTTTTGTCAATAAACAGATAATATACTTACCAAGACCTGAAACCAGTTTGGCTAATACCTAATATGTCACTGATAAAAACAGCATTTGGTTTTTACTATCCATTAATAGCGACTCTAAGCAATAACAGAGGTTGAGAAAAGACCAATACTCTTCCAGAACCACCCATGCCTTTGCTGGTTTACACCACTCCTTACTAGCCTACCCCTTAATCTAGCTGATGCCAAAAACCAAACTCACTGCCAATGAATCAATTTCAACTCAAAATGACTCCTCCTTGGGTTTCTGAGGCGGTATCACTACGGAAATAGATTGCCCAACCTTCCTTCTGAGGAGTGGATGGTGGGTTTGCACTGCCAGCCTTCTGGTTAGCAGTCAACTGCCTTAGACACTATGCCACCAGACCTTTCAATCTAGCTGACAGCCAAGTTATAATTATCTATGAAGTACAACAGGAAAGGATCCACAAGGCATCCTGAACCCTCTGAGTGCCCGGCACACATCTGGGAAATAAGAGGTGCAAATCTGGTTCTTGAAATTCTAAAACCCCAAAGTCACAAATTGGTTATACATGTACTTCCACCCCACTTCTGAGTTCCTGTGCCTAAACCAGTGATTCTCAAGATGTGTTCTGCAATATTGCTCTTTGATGGCTCAAGATTACCTACCTGTTCCATGAACTGGCCCAACAATATAATACATTTAATAAAATGTGTAATTATAACCAACACTAAAAGTCATAAGAATATACATTTAAAAAATGTTGCCACAATAATAATGATTTACTTGGCTATGAACTTTATATCATTAATTTTTTGGGGGTATTGTCAAAATGGAGCAGGGAAAATACATGGATTTTAAGCTTTTTGTCTCACCAAAGTGTGATTCAAATTCAAAACATTTAACAAAAGAACCCTAGGTGGTAACTCTTACTTCTATGTTTTAAAAATGAATCAATCATTTACTTACAATTAATCATTTACTTATAAATTTGAATAAAAGCCAGACATTATTCACTGTTACCTCCTAAAAGTTTATCAACTCATCTACTGATTCTATCCTGGTGTGTATTTTTCCTAGTGGCAAAAAGCCACAGGGAAGTTATATGGCCCACAGATATCCTGTGCTCTGCTAAAGATTATCTTGGGCTGACATAAGTGAAAATTGCATTTTTGTATTAATTAAAATATATACTATACAATAGTAAAGGCTACTCCAAACACCAAGTAGACTAGCACTTCTCAAACTTTAAAGTGCGTATGTATTACTTGGATCTTGTTAAACTGAAGATTCTAAATCAGTAGGTCTGGAGTGGGCCTGACAGCATGTCTAACAAACTCCCAGATGAAGCTGTTGCCACTGCTCTCCAGACTGAACTTTTGAGCAGCCAGATATTAGGTAACTCCAGAAACCATAAATAGTGCTCAAAATCACATTCTTACAGGAATATTAAATACCAAAAAAGATAAAACCCAAGATTCAATAATATGCATAAAAATATTTCCCACTGTAAGTTAAACTTCATATATGCTCATCTGACCTTTCTGAGTCTCTATTTCTTCATTAATAAAATGTAAGTATTTGCCCTGCCTACTGAAGAGTTATAAGGCACATGACTGGTAATCAGAAGGTTGGCAGTTCAAATCCATTAGCTACTCTGCAGAAGGAAAATTAAGCTACCTATTTCTACAAAGACTTACTGCCTTGGAAACCCAATAAGGATTGCTATGAGTCACTATCCACTTGATGGCAGTGAGTTTGGTTTTTAGGTGTACTGCAGAATTATAAGGAAAAAAAGGAAAATGAATGAAATTATTCTGAGAAGCATGTTACTGTATAAACAAATAATACTGTATCAGTTTTATTATTATGACTACATTTCTCAAATTACACATGATCTCATTTATGGAAAAGAATTCCTAAAGATCTGCTGACTACTGAATGTCATCTTACTTCAGAAACAGACAATGCAAATAAATTATGAAATCTTTATATAAATATTAACTTCTAGGAATTCTCATTTCTCATCCATTTCCTTTACAGCATGACCAGTTCTGTGGTATAATCAGGCAAATCTTATATATTAGGATATTTATCATCCTTCTATCTTTAAGAAAATAATAAATAAATAAATAAAAATTAAATTAAATAAAAAAATTCATCTGACGCCAATTTGTCTGAATTGCCATTAATTCTTTAAGAACTTATTTAAGATAAATGTTTACCAGTGAGAGAATATATCAGCAGCAAATCTGTGCTTCAATATCTCATACAGGAGGAGGCACACTCTGGCAATGATTTTGTTTTACTTTTTCATTCTAAGCCCCACTCTCGTTGAAGCAAACAGGCAAGGTAGGGGACCATGGAATAGGTCCCTTTGCTCAACATAAATCAAGCATACAAGTATCATAGCTCAATAAGAAAGACTGCTAAAAGCTTTCTTAAGTACACATTTGGTTGCTCTTTTTCCTCAGAATGCTACTTCCCATTCTCCCACCTTTCTCCATATCCAGTAAAGAAATGACATTTAGCCAGATAAGAACATTTCATTTTGCCAGCAATCATTTATAACAGCACAACTTACCGCAAAGATTTTTAACAAAGTTTTCATGTAAAGCTTTCGGATACCAAAGGAGACTCCAAAAATGGCTGGGACAATGATGAAAACAAGGAGGAGGGTGAAGAGGACAGTCAGGGAGATACCTAGAAGGTTGACAATCAGGCTATCAAAAGGCAGCAACAAGAACATGGTGGAGGATCCAGGCAAGGCCAGTGCCCTCCTCCCTGAAAACAAACTACAGCTTTCAAATGGTTCTCTCCAACAGCACCCGCCTGGGAAAAGAGGCAAGTCCCCAAAGTATAACAAATTCCATTCCAAAGTTCACATCATTTGACTGTCTGAAGAAAAAGGCTGGGAGTAGAATGCAGAAGGCAGCCCCAAAACACCAGATCGCCCCAGAATAGATGACTCTGGAGATGAATGAGGCAGGGAAAATCTTCAGTGAAAGCATCCAAGTCCAGACTGAGTTTCTGTAAAAGTGAGCAGTGAGGGAGGGATCTCAGCTCTGCTATCCTGACACTGCTTCCAGAGGTTTTACTCTTTCTCTTGCCCAAAAGCATTTAGCAGATAAATCTGCCCTGCAGATCTGTCATTGCCAGAAGTACCAAGAAAAGTTCAACTTGGTGCCAGAAAAATCTTGATAACTCCTGTGAAGGGGCGTGACTGCTGGCACTTCAAACAGAAGGCTATTGAACTTGAATATGTGGAAATTAAATAATTGTTTTACTTAAAAATTCCTTCATAAGGTGAAAATCATGTTCATTGTAGACAGTTCATATCTGACCCCATTCTTCCTCTAGAGGCTCCTGGCGCTTTCTGCTTCCAGGATCCTCCTACCTGGAGAGCTACAGTCTTTGCCAGTAGGACATAGATGCTCGCACAGAGTGGCTCATGCTGCCTGTGGTGAGTGTAATTCCAGATGCATCTGGCATTGGTTTCCTCTAGATATTCTTCTCCCTAAGGTCCCCTTTGCAGTGGTGACCTGGGTTCTTGGCAAGAAGTTGCTCACATGCTGCCAAAGCTGAGGGTGGAAACAGAAACAAACAAATCAAGAGCAAAAATGTCAATGGTACTTAGGGAGGTGGGGGAGGAGAGGCACTGTTTTAGGCTGAGCTTAGAGTCAATTCCAGCTTCTCAAGTCATCAAGGTCAGAGACTTAAGTGGCAGAGCAACAGGTGGCAGACATGGGTATGAGAGGAAAACACAGAGATGCTTCATAAGATTTTCAACTCCAATGATATAATCTACCCCCATTCAAACTTTTGAATAGGAAAAGATATACATATACAAATACATGACACATTTCAAAAGGTAAAAAAAAGGGTATATACTAAAACCAAACTCACTGCCACTGAGTCAATTCTGACTCAGTGACCCCCACTGGATTTCCAAGGCGGTAAATCTTTATGGGAGTAGATTGCCCCATCTTCCTTCCACAGAGCAGGTGGTGGGTTTGAACCACCAACCTTCTGGATAGCAGTCAAATGCCTTAAGCACTTTAAAAAGTAAATCTCCCTCCTACTTTTCCTCCACCTACCCAGAGTTCTCTTCCACAGACAGTTTCGAATTCTTCTAGAGATACTCTCTGCTTACACAAAGAAACCATAATTGTTCTTTTTCTCCTCCACTCCTGTAACAATAGTGATGGCATACTATGCACATTGTTTTTTTTTTCTTTTGCAGCTTTACATGTTTTTCTTTTAAAATACTTTGTTTTTTAGGTAAAATTACACAGCAACTTAGGTTGCCATTTAATAATTTTTATACAAATTATTCCGTGACTTTGGTTACAATTTTCACCATGTGTCAGCATTCTCATTTTTTCCATTCTGTTTCCACTGATCTAGCTTCCCTTTCCATCCATGCCTTCTCATCTTTGCTTTTGGGAAAATTTTTGCCACTTGGTCTTACATATAGTTTGACTGTTCAAGGGAGCATGTTACTGATAAACTTAAAAAAAAAAAAAAAAAAAAACAAACTCACTGCCATTGAATCTATTCTGATTCATAGCAACCCCCATTGGATTTCCAAGGCTGTAATCTTTGCAGAAGTAGACTGCCCCATCTACCTTCCACGAAGCAGTTGGTGGGTTTGAACCACTGACCTTCTGGTTAGCAGCCAAATACCTTATCCACTATGTCACTAGAGCTCCTAAGTGTTATTTATTTTTCAAACAGCTTAACAGAGTACAGTATCAGTACATAAAGAGGTCCCTCAGTCTTTACAGTGCAGCATTGCTCTTAACTGTATGAGTGGGTTATGACTGAGTTAACTGATCTCCTAACCTTGGACCTTGGCATTACCACTTTTTTGTGGAATGCTACACATGGAAAATGTTACAATGGATATCCATGTCCAGGCATAATTTAGTGCATAAAATGTACAGCAAATATATTTTCACAATCAATTCCTAGAAATGGAATTGCAGGGGAAAAGAAAATATGTATTTTTAATTTTGCAAGAGAGTGCCATATTTTCTAGATATCCTTCTAGCCTATCTCCCTACACTGGCTATTCATTTTCAAGTCTCTCTGGTAAACCATTTTGGCTTCACTCCAGTCACCTTCTGGCTCTGTTCTAATACATTTATAAGTTCCAGAAACTAAACAAACGAACACGTTACTGACTTCACCTTAAATTTTGTCCAGTGCTTTATAAAATTTAAGCCCTTTCACATTCTACCTCATTTGGTTATCCTACAACCTGTCAACATATATTATTTCCATTTTACAAATTAGCAAACTAAGACAGACAGACATGGATCCAGTTCTTGTGACTCCTCATGCTGTTCTCCCATTACACTCCCATATATCTGTTGTTGTTATGTGCCGTCAAGTCGGACCCGACTCATAGCAACCTCTCCTTGGGTTTGGGTTTCAACCGCCAGCCTTCTGGTTAGCAGTCAAGTGCCTTAGAGCTCTGGTAGCATAGTGCCTAAGGCACTTGACTGCTAACCAGAAGGCTGGCGGTTCAAACCCACCAGCCACTCCTCGGAAGGAAGGTTGGGCAATCCTACTTCCGTAGTGATACTGCCTCGGAAACCCAAGGAGGGGTCGCTATGAGTTGGGGCCGACTCGAGGGCAAATAACAACAACATCAGGCTGATAGGAACTCTGGTGGCACAGTGGTTAAAGCATTCGGCTCCTAACCAAAAGGCTGGTGGTTCAAACCCACTAGCTGCTCTGCAGAATAAAGATGAGGGAGTCTGCTTCTTCCATAAAGATTTATAGCCTTGGAGACCCTATGGGGCAGTTCTACTGTTCTATAGGGTCACTTATAAGCTGCAGTTGACTCGATGGCAGTGGGTTAATCTGGTTGGTGGTTCAAACCCACCAACCTCTCCATAGGAGAAAGATATGGCAGCCTGCTTCTGTAAAGATTTACAGTCATGGAAACTCTATTGGGCAGTTCTACTTTGTTCGAGTCACTATGAATTGTAATTGACTGTCAAAGGGTTTAGTTTTTCTAAAAAAATCTTTACTTAATTCTAACAACCACCCTATGGTGGAGTTATTATCATCATTGCCATTTACACTTGGAGAACCTGAGGCATTGAGGTCTAAGGAAGTTACCCAGGGTCACAAAGCTACCAAGTGGCAGAGGAGGAATTCCAACAAGTATATCTGACTCAGAGCCCATGCTCTTTAACTACTATGCTCTTCCATCTCTCCAACTACCTTGAAATAAATTAATATTTCCTTAATGCCAGGCCTGCTTTACAGAACTCTTGTGATCAGAGAAAAACCACAAGACAAATCAAGATTCACATGACAGAATTTGGTGTTCTTCTCAGAATCTTAGGTACAAACCTGCTCTGGCCAAACTGATCGAACGTACACGCCAGATTTCTAACTACATTCCAACAAACGTTAAGGAAGTTAGTTGTATTCCTGAGACACAATTAATTTAATTCCCTGATTCACTATACTCCTCAGGACTGTGTAGTCCCAGCCTAATTTAGGGCCATTATCTCCATATCACCCTTTCATCCCTGTCCACCTACCTCTACGCCCAGCATTTCCATGGAAAGACGGCAAAGAGGTAGCAAGAGCCCTCTGCCTCACTGGACAGTTTTGCTCACACTGGCCAAGGTCACCTCAAGTTCCACAAACCCAAGGTGACCGACAGTGGTCACTTTGACCCCTTACGCCAGAGTTTAAATCTCTCTTCTTTGGATTGCATTCAGCTGAGAATTCTCAAGGTTATTCTGGGTTCATGTCCCCAAAACACTGAAGTAAACACATTTAGCAATAAACTCGTTTCTTCACCTACTTCAGGAGTAGGCAAATTGTGACCCATGGACCAAATCCAGGTATGGCCTATTTTTATATGGCCCATGAGCTAAGAATGGTTTTTACAACTTTAAATAATTGTTAATTAAAAAGAAAACAAATATGTGACAGAGATCATGACCTGCAAAGCCTGAAATATTTATCATTTGTTCCTTAACAGAGCTTGCCAACTCGTGACCTTGTTGATCTTTTCTCCCCTCAGCTGTGGTGAACTCTCCCCTTGTTGTCTTGCCCCACCCCCTGGGTGCTTGTTTATGAGTGTCAGACTCCAGAGCAGAGAGCAGTAAACTAGTCAAACAAGTTAGCTGGCTAGCACTAAAAAATCCTAATAAAAATTCTTAGAAGTAGAGAGAAACAGCAAGCAAACTGTGGTTATCAAGCAAGCTTCCAGACATCTTGCTGGATTGGTAAAGCAAATCATTCAAGTCAATTCCAATTCATAGTGACCCCATGTGCTCTACAGGGTTTTTAATGGCTGATTTTTAGGAAGTAGATCACCAGGACATTCTTCCAAGGCACCTCTGGCTGGTCTTAACCTTCAACCTTTCGGTTAGCAGCTGAATGCATTAACTGTTCACACCACCCATAGACGCCATAGCCCCCTTAACACAGACTGCTGATCTCATAAAAGAGAAAATTGTCTATATCAGAACTCAATCCTGTTACTTCTGATCTCATTCAAACCACAACTGCTAGATAACTGCTCCTTTAGGAGAAAACATCCTTTTGCCTCAATTAAATATAACCAAGATCCATTAAGCATTAGGTAGCAAAAGTTATTTTAACTCCAAGAAATATATTTATTTATCCTCATAACTTCCACAGCTTGATTTCAGCCAAACTCACTGAAAATCATGTGCACAGTTCCCCTATGAGCCAAAACTGTCCAGAGAAAAACAGAAAAACCTACTAGTTCTGAGTCTTTTAGGAAGGAAGAAGGCTTCATCTTAGGAAGGGAACAGCACTCCCTGCTAAGCTGACTAAACTCAACCCACAGAACGGCAAATCTGGACCTTTGGGCCCCCAAATAACCAGTTTCCAAGGGTCTTCA